CTGTTTAGGGTTTAGGTTTTTGGTTACTTGCGGGCTTATGGTTCAGGAGTTTCTGGCTTCAGGGTTTATGGCACAGAGACTCTATGATGTTGTAAAAATCCGTCGTTTGCCATTGAGGGTTCACGGGGCTTTAGGGTTCAGGGCTTGGGTNNAGGGTTTACGGTTCAGGGTTTTGGAATTGAGGGCTTGGTCGCAGGGTTTTCCCTCAAGATCGGGCTACACAGATCCATGTGATGCTTCAATCATTGGATGGGCACTTAGCAAACCGGATTACTTGGTCTTACCATGAAAAGACTCCTTGCAAAGTTGCCCCGACACTCCCACAACACCTCTGCGGTAATTTCATCGGAAGTTTCTCCAGACTGCCTCTAGAAAAACTGCTGAGTTGGACCCTATTTTCTTTTTCTCCTTACAGGTTCAATCCCGTTCTTCTTTCAAGTCTCTAAGGACACCCCCAGATCTCGCGGAAGGCTTTTAATTTAGGGTCTTGGGAAAGTCTTTGAGGTGTGCCCTGACCCCCCAAGAACTCAAAGGAATCCAGGCTTCTCTTACATTCTGAAAAGAGGAAAGCAACCGGAGGCCACAAGCGCAAGGTTTCGTAGATCACACCATGCAGGTAAGGCAGCTCGCTTGCCTCAGTTGCCCCAAAATCTGCACAGCCATTTTCCAACGCACCCGCCCTCTACTGCGAGAATGCATTCATCGCGGTTTAGGGTTTGACTGTAGTCTCCCTTGACCTATAATGAAAATAGTATGTCTAATAATTCCTGAGGTTTATACTAGTATATAAAATGACAAATAAATCCAAGGGAGGCTACAGTTGACGTAATCAGCAAGGATCATGAGGACAGAAATGGTCAGTACAAGCGCTCGGAAAAAGAAAAATAAAAAAGGATCTCCTTTTTTGCCAAGATACAGACAAACTCTTCATGTCCAGCACTTTGCCTTGTCTTCAGGAAAGAGTTTATCAACTTTGGGTCTTCCTACATAGTTCAGTGTTTAAGGGTTTACGCCCTACTTATGATCTCCCTATATGGCCCCTTGCAGGAGATACCCCAATTCTGATTAGGACGATAACCCCCAATGCTGTAAAAGACCTTGTTGCAGATTTGGGAAACCCTAGGGACAAGGCCACAGCCAAACGCATGTCGTTTTGAAGCTGGTCTGCCTGGCGGCAGCTTCTGCATGATCTCCTCATGAAGCTTTGCCTGTATGTCTTGGTTCCGTGTGAGCTCGTAGAACATCCAGGACCTCAGATTTCGTTGCGGATCATTTCTGTGTTCGCCTTCTGCTATACCTCTGTATAGCCTTTGTGAACATCGGTCCGCCTTGCCGGGTGTATTTCACTACGCCGGGACATGACTGCGAATTGAAAGTTCGTTTTGCGCAGGGTTGCTAGCCGACGCGTTCAAACAGCGGATGGCTTCCGAAAGCTAGGGTCCATTGCCTCCGTTTGCCCCGTCCGCGTTGGATTACCAGAGCATCCATGCCCAA